CCACAGTGAGAAGGTGGAAATGGTATCCTAGTAGGAATAGAATAAGCTGTCCTGAAAAAAAGATTGTAGATCTTGAAGATGATGGACAGAATGATGCAGATTAAGGACACATTTTTAAATTGTTAATTTATTATCGTTGACTTTTTACTATTTTGTTTTGTTTTCTTTCTTTTGTTGAGAAAGGAAGGAGATGTGATGTATGGGCAGTGTGGAAGGAAAGGAAGGAGATGTGATGTTTCCTGTACCTGGCCCGACTGATAGGAAGTGCACATCGAGTGAGCACTTCCTATCAGTCCAGCTGGGTACAGAAAACAGGTTTTCCTGTACCGTGGACCAGAGAGAAGCTTGGCCATGCTACATAGGGAAGGGGAGGTGAAGAGAGAGGCAGTGCTGCAGCCACCTGAGGTTCTCTATAGAGTGCTCAGGTGGCTGCAGCATTAAAGGGACTCTCCAGTGCCAGGAAAACAATCCGTTTTCCTGGCACTGCAGGTCCCCTCTCCCTCCCACCTCCCAATCTCCGGTTGCTGAAGGGGTGAAAACCCCTTCAGTTACTTACCTGAGACCCCCGTCGATGTTCCTCGGCAGTGGTTTCGGGTCGTCCGCCGCTCCTCCTCTTCATTACGTCGGCCGGTGGGCGAGACTGATCCCGCTCGCCGGCCGTGGAGACCTAATGCCCCGCATGGGCATTAGAGCACTCCATAGGAAAGCATTGAAAATGCTTTTCAATGCTTTACTATGAGGAATTGAGCGATGCTTTGAGGACGTCCAGCGATGCTCTAACACAGGTTTTCTGTGCTACGGACCAGGAAGTGCCCTCTAGTGGCTGTCTAGTAGACAGCCACTAGAGGTGGAGTTGACCCTGCAAGGTAATTATTGCAGTTTATAAAAAACTGCAATAATTACACTTGCAGGGTTAAGAGTAGTGGGAGTTGGCACCCAGACCACTTCAATGGGCAGAAGTGGTCTGGGTGCCTGGAGTGTCTCTTTAACCCCTTAAGGACACTTGACAAGTGTGACATGTCATGATTCCCTTTTATTCCAGAAGTTTGGTCCTTAAGGTGTTAAAAAACTTGGTGGCTGCCTAGTTCGCCTTATAGGAAGCACCGGCCATGATTACATACCCCTTTAATCTCCATCAGTAAGACCTGCTCAGTATGAAGGACCATTCACTGAGACTCAGACTGATAGTGCTAGTCACTAAAGTGAGAATTGACAGAAATTCAAACTGAATTAAAGGTAATTTCGAAATATTCACCAAAATAACTGAACTTGAAAAATTCTCCATGTGGGTTCTATTTTCAATTTGGCTATTTTGGACTTAAACTTAAAATGATTATCAGCAATTCTAATCTAAATAACCCTGTCTGTTTCCCATTGGCTCTTTTACTACCAAATGAAATGTGTTCTAAATGTCAAAATCACTGTCACATCTCACCATGGTCATTGGCAAACACCATCACGCATGCTGATTGTAGTCTGGCAGCCTGATAAATGTCAGATACTGCAGTTTATCTGGAAATATCCCAGTGGGCCAGTCCAGGTCTAGAGAGCATTAAGAGCACAAGCAATCAGTCAATGCACAAAGTCACACAATCACACAAGTCACAGAAGCAGCACCCGGTACAAGGTTTCCTGATTGAAGCCTGATTAAACTACTGCTTTGAATTCTATCTGCTAGTTTTATATAGCCATACTGCAAACAAAGAGCAAATAGAAACATGATATACATTAATATGTACAGTTAAAAGGATACTGTAGTGCCAGGAATACAAAGCTGTATTCCTGGCACTATAGATCCCTCTACCTCCCCCCTCCAACGGCATAAATAAATGGTTAAAAACCCTTTATTTACTTACCTGATCCCAGCGCCTATGTCAATGGGTTGATGCTCTGCCCCCTCCAATGGCCGGCAATGTGTCAGGTCGGGACTTTTATGAAATATGATTCTAGTCCATGAGACGTGGGACAACATTTGTTTAAACCTTTGAAGACAGCTCCAGCCATACTTCTATTTATCTTTATCTGTAAATTTACACATTTAGTTTTTTTCTTTATTTTTCTTATCTTTTAAGTTTGGCTTACACCAAGCCGCACAGCATTACTAGATATCTACTTAGCGGTGCTGTTGCACTTCGGCAATACCAGGCAATCAAACAGAAGGTGGAGGGGATATCAGAACTTAAAGGGTGCTCTCGAAGGCACAACAGAGTAGGGAACTAGTACTATATCACACCACCGCAGGGCTTCCCACTCTATTTCTGTTACATTATATCTCTCCTCTCCTGATCAACACGTAACAGTTGCAAATCTCAGAATCCTGTTACATTCCGTTTCATTTTGCAACTATATGGTGTTATTACCAAACTATCGAAACCCTGCGTTCTTTTTCTTTTCTTTTTGTTAAACCTTTATTTTGATTACTTTTTCATTATATTCATTTACTATATTACTTTTCTTTTTGACCTAGAGTAATTTGAATATTTACTTTTCATTCATTCTTTAGTATTTTAATCTGATAGGGGTTTTTTCCTATCACAGACACTATTTTCACTTATGACAAGTTCTGATAATATTTTAAATAATCACATTAAAAGTGACATTTTATAACTTTATTTATTTTTGGGTTACTCTTTACACAAGGGGATTATTGCCTAAATGGTTCCCCTTGTGTTTTGTTCTTTTTTTCCTTGATAACATTATCTGGGGGTTATCTGGGGGTAATCCCCTCTCCCTCCATTAGAGTAACCTGACACGTTTCAGTTCTGTATCAGAACTTTCGTCAGGATAAAGGTGCAATACAATAACCAGTGTTTAAAAAACAAACTATACTAATTAATACATTTTATACAAGTAGCACTTACCCTTTTCCCCTAGTGATTATCCATACATATATACACATACACACACGTATTATATATATATATATCTACATACATATACACACACATCCACACACATTCTACATTCGAAAAAAAAAAAAGAAAAAAAGAAGAAAGAAAAATAATCCTGCACTCCATATAATACAAATATACTTGTCAAGCGAAAATATAAAGAAGAATAATCCAGATAGCACTCTCAGGACTTGTAAAGTACATTCTATATGTAGCATAATGTCTCACGAATACAACAGTACCCCTCAAGTATAGGTTTTACACTGATTTGAAAAGTTACAGGGTCAAACAAGATTTGCCAATTTCTATTTTTATAAATTGCTATTTGCCAAATTGGCTATGTTGCCTTTGAGATGGTATGGCAACCCAGAAATGAAAATTAACCCTACCATAACATACCATCTGAAAAAGTAGACAACCCTGGGTATTCAAAATGGGTATGTCCAGTCTTTTGTAGTAGCCACTTAGTCACAAACACTGGCCAAAGTTAGCATTTATATTTGTTTGTGTGTAAAAAAATGCAAAAAAAGAATATGAACGCTAACTTTGACCAGTGTTTGTGACTGAGTGGCTACTAGAAAATACTAGACATACTCTATTTGCAATACCTTAGGATGTTTACTTTTGCAAATCGTATGGCATGGTGGTAATTCTTATTCCTGGGCCACCATATGGTCTCAAATGGAACATAAATAATTTGGCAAATTTAAATGAAAAAAAATTAGATGGACAAGCCTTATATTTGACCCTGTAACTTTCAAAAACACAATAAAACCAGTACATGGGGGTACTGAATACTCCAGAGGTTTCGCTGAACACAAATATGAGTGTTTCAAAACAGTAAAACTTATCACAATGATGATATCACCAGTGAAAATGCAGTTTTTGTTTAAAAATGCAAAGTACAAATAAAAACGCAAACTTTGGCCAGCGTTCATGACTAAGTGTCTACTACAAAAGACTGGACATATTGCATTTTGAATACCCTGGGTTGTCTACATTTGCAAATGTTTTTTTCATAATGGGGTTAATTCCTGGGCTACCATATGGTCTCAAAAGGCAACATAGACTGAGCAAACCAATCTGGCAAACTGAAATAGGCAAGCCCTATACTGACCCTGCACCCTCTCTTGGTTGTGAGCCAGGTACAAGAAGGGTAGTACTGTAGTTCTGACTGCAGAATGGTCAATCAGGGAGACTTCAAATCACACTCCTTGTGTGTTAGTCAGAGAGGCTGCTAGGTGGCAAAAAAGCCAGAGCTTCAGCCCAAGAGAAAACTATACATCCCAAGACAAATCTAACATTATTAACAAACTAAATCTAACGTTACAAGAAAAGAATATGAAATCTGCTTTTTGTATTCTATTATGCAAATATTTTTAACTGTTTGTTTATTTGTATTTATTTATGCATGCAATTTTATATTCACCCCATTTTTTATGTATTTGTCAGCTTTTAGCTCATATAAAAAACGTTCACCCTGACTTCGGTTTCTTTTATTGTAATAAAAGTCCTTGGAGTGCCATCATTTGAACTGTACTACATTCATTTGCGGAGCAGCACCAGGTATAGGACATTCTACTACACTGGAGTACAGGTGATTGTGGATTTTTAAAAATATATATGTATGTTTATGTGTGTATATATAAACACATACATAGAGAATCGAAAATGCCAATACAATCTCTGAGTGTTTCATAATGATTCTTTCTACATGAAAATCTCAAAGATGACAACAATGTCTCTTTAATATGGCACAACGAGCCATGGATCTTGTTTATTTATTATGTGTGCCTTAAATATAGCTTGCTGTGTCTACAATTTTAAACACTGACTCATTGTGTGAATGTGTAATCTTGACTAGTTATTACAAAATCTCTTAGGGTCTCTGAGAGCAATTGGTTTCAGATCTAAAATCTCCAGTAGTGAGAATGTGATAACAATGCTATTTTATACATGTAACACAAAAACAGAGGCTGTGATATTAGTCTATAATTTAAATATGGAGAAATATGCCACTGCAAGATCATCAAACGGCTCAGATGATTTGCATGCATGCAAATGTAAGATGTTCCAACTGGTTTTAAGTTCAACCTGGAGGATTCCAGTCACAGGTCACAGATCAGTGACTTACTATATGCACCATGTCCTGGGCTGTTCTCTTCATTCTTACCTTGTATTACTCATGTAAGATAATGAGAACCTGCATAGACAGCTCACAGTAGGTGCACTGTAACTTTCTAATGATTGGTAATATATCATTATCTTTTTCAGGTTCTGCGGCTCAGTTTGTGGTGACTCAGGAAGCTGCAATATCTGGGTCTATTGGTAATGATGCCCGTCTGACCTGTGGGCGCAGTGGAGGCTCAGTGACCGGGGGTAACTACCCATCATGGTACCATCAGACACCCGGGGGTGTCCCTAAACTTGTAGTTGGCAGTTATGGTACAAGCAACCAAAACTATAGACCCTCATGGACCTCAGATCGGTTCACTGGATCTATATCAGGGGGTTTGGCTGTCCTGTCCATTAGCAGAGTGCAGGCTGATGATGATGGAGACTATCACTGTGCTCTCTATGCTGGTAGTGGTATACGCACAGTGATACAAATACACAGAGAACTGAGACATAAATCTAGCATGTAACCATTTGACTGAACAGCAGGGGGCAGCAGTTAACCTTATAATATTTTATTTCCCTATGGTTATCTAAGTGAACACGTTCTGTATTAAAACTAACCCACCACATTAATGGACTCTTTGTTCTAAGTTTCTAAGATAGCCTTACCAGACTGCATGGCTACAGTTTCAACATATACTGTGGAATAGAACACATTATAAACTAATTTTAGGATCAGAGATGTCATTCTTATCCTTAGTTTGCTATAACCAATAGGACTCAAGAAGACGATCTATAATTATACACATTTTATATATTGTTATGCCTGTGATATATGTGGACCACAAACTTAGGTGTTTGTGCTGCATTAGAGGAGTCACAGTGCAGCTGTACTGTGAGATAGTAATGTATTTCCATTTATACACAGATACACAAGAGCTTCGGCAGTGTTCTGCAAATGGGAAGCCCTACTTGGTCACCTAGAGGGACAGCCTGTTTTCCTTCTCTATGACATATCCAGTTTACAGCAGAGTGCTGACCTGATAATATGAACTGTATCACTGATCTGTTGTCCTGTACGGTGTAACAGTGGCGGATCTAGAGCCTGATTTTTCGGAGGGGCACTTGTAAATTAAAAAAAATAATCCATGCACTATAACCACTACAGCTCTGTGTAGTGGTTATGGTGCCAGGACCCCCTCCTAGCACAATAACCACTACAGCTCTGTGTACTGGTTATGGTGCCAGCACCCCCTCCCAGAGTAAGTAATAAAACCATTTAAGAACAGTTTGACAACTTACCTGGGGTCTGCTGGGATATGGGGCTGTAGTAGGGCATAGGAGCAGTGGTGTGTGTGAGTGGTGTGTGTGAGGGTTGCAGTGTGTGGATGTGTAGGGTGTGTGGGGGCAGTGTATGTGTGGCAATGTGTGTATGGGGGACAATGTGTGACTTTGTATGGTGTGTATGTGTGTGGGGCAATGTGTGTATGGGGGGCAGTGTATGTGGGGTTGAGGAGGGTAGGGGGGGATATATATATATATATATATATATATATATATATATTTTTTTTTTTTTTTTAAATAAAAATAAAGAAATATATGTCCCCTTTCCCACTGGCAGATCCAGGGGGGGCAACAGGGCAATTGTCCGCCCCCCCGAGGCTCTCCCCTGCTGGCTAATGCAGGGTTTAAATTATTAAAATATTAGTTAATGTCCCCCCTCCCTTCTTACCTGTAGCCTGGGGAGGGGGGGAGGTGGACGGACATTGCTTTCTTTCCATCCCTCGTGGCTCTATTGGCGAGAGTGAACTATAGCCTGTAGCTCAGACTAGAGATCACTCTTGCGAGAATGGAGCGTTGCCACGGTAACCACGGCAACGCTCCGTTCTCATGAGAGGAGAACCCGGCGGAGCTGCAGGTAAGAGCTCCCACAGGTTCTCTCTCCCTCCCCTTCCAGCTGACCAGCAGTGATCTCTCCTCCGGACCATAAAGGCACACACAGCAGGGTTGGCACTTATATAGCGCCAGTCCTGCACGGGCCGGCAGGGGAGAGCCTCAGCCTCACTATTTTCTCAGGGAGGGGGGGAGGGAGGGAGGAAGGAGAAGGGGAGTGCAGGGGAAGGGGTGTGGGCAGCAATTTCCCAGTTGCCCACCCCCAATGTCGTGAATAGGAGCATGCGGGAGGATTTAACCTTCCTTTTATTAATATGGGGGTCATTGTGACCCCCCATAGGTTTTAATGCATGGGGGGGAATGACTAGTTATTTATTACAAGGAGAGAGTTGGTAGTGCTGCCAGCTCCCTGCTTGGTTTTTTATTGCGCATGCACACTTATTTCTCCGTGCTGTTGGGGTTAATTCCCCAAAAAGTTTTCAGGTTTTCACATACATTTCAATTGCCCTTGTAATAACTTTTATTACATAGTTATTAGTTGTATTTACTTTAATTTTTAATTTGAGATTTCCCTTTAACTTTGCCATAATGCAACATGTATGTGAACAATAAAGTTGAGTTGAATGCGTATGACGTAGCGACGTACGCTGACGTCAGAAGGCGGAAGTAGTAGCATGGAGTGGCCGCGGCGGATTTTTGCCGCCTAATGAGGATATTTAAATCGATATGCTTACACTTTGGCAGGACGGAGAGGAACAGGGGCCATCGAAGGGACAGGAACGTCCCGAGCGCGCAGCCCAATTTAGCCTGATTACAGGATTGCCCACGATTATGAATCCAGGAAAAGACCTGTCAGACTGACCAGATTCCACAGAATAGATGAGTGATTACTTTCTCACCGAGCTACAACTCATTTTCACCCTCATCCAATATACATCATCTACAAGATCTACCACCCTCCTACTGAATATACTATCAAGTTTACGTATTTTTTGGTGAGATCCATCCATATACCTATGAATTGTATAGTGCACTATATTTTGGACTATTAATAGGACTGGAATATATATACATTTTTTCTTTTTTTCTTTTTCTGCTTTTTTCTTTTTTACTATTTTTTATTATTTTTTATATTTTTTCTGGACATATCATTTCATTCATTTTTTGGATCAATAACCAGTGTAAATAGATATATAGCTTATGAAATTCAGCACAGGGAGGTTTCTGTGTGTATATATGTAAATAATCTCTATATATATGTATATATGATTGGAATGAATTTCACTAAGGTTTACTTGATTAACCTATGAATTATTATTATAATAAATATCTTTGCAATTTAATACAAGTTTAGATTTCACTATAATCATTTTTTGAGTGCGGTATTCATATTTGTTTTTGGATCTAGATTAGGAGGTTGTTGTGGGGTTAAACCTCGAATACCTGCACCTTGCATAATTGAGTGCCAACACTTATTGTGTTTTTGCTTGGCACTCTCCTTTAAGTAATAAGAAAGAACTAATAGCCTGGGTGCTATATCCCAAACGTCAGAAATATACAAAAATCAAAACTGAGGATGCACTCACAGGACTTGGTTAAAGTGAAAAAAAGGGACTTTTAATTATTCCATGTGAATGGAAAATTGATTTTTCTGTACATTTCACATGGAATAATTAAAAGTCCCTTTTTTTCCCACTTTAACCAAGTCCTGTGAGTGCATCCTCAGTTTTTTGGGGGGGCTGTGTGTGTCGGTGGGGGGGGGGGCTGTGTGTGTGCTTGCACTGTGTTTGCTTTTAAATTGTCTCTGGTGTCTCCACAAGTGGGATACCAGAGGACAAAAGGGCCAGGAAAGTGTATGGTGCATGTGTTTGGTGCATGCTTGTGGGATTGCCTGTGTGTAGAGTGTGGTGTGGTATTGTGTAAATAGGTCAATTTTGTGGTGTAATATGTGTGGCTAGGGGCTGTAGAGAGTGCGTGTATATGGGCATCAGGGGCGTATTAGCCGCGAGGCAAACAAGGCATTTGCCTTGGGCGGCATTTTTCAGGGGGTGGCAAAAAACGCCGCCCCCCAAATGCCCAGGACAAATGTCTTGTTAGCCTCGCGGCTAACTGACATTCTGGGCGCTGGGTGGGCGGGCGGCGAGGGAGCTCTTACCCTGAGCGCTCTGCTCTGCTCAGCTCCCTCGCGCGCCGCCAGCAGAGTGAGGCTGGGAGCCGGAATATGACGTCATATTCCGTCTCCCAGCCTCACTCTGCTGGCGGCGCGCGAGGGAGCTGAGCAGAGCAGAGCGCTCAGGGGAAGAGCTCCCTCGGCGGCCGCCCGCCCGCCCAGCGCTGCAGCCACTGGACCCCAGGGAGAGGAAGAACCCCCCCAGCATTACCAAAGGTAAGGAGGCTGGGGGGGGGTTAAATAAAAAAACAAAAAAAAAACACTAGTGTGTGTGTGGAAGTCTGTTAGTGTGTATGTTAGTGTGTGTATGTATGTTAGTGTGTATGTATGTTAGTGTGTGTGTGTGTGTGTGTATGTTTGTGTGTGTATGTTAGTGTGTCTGTTAGTGTGTGTATGTTAGTGTGTGTGTATGTTAGTGTTTGTGTCTGTTAGTGTGTATGTTAGTGTTAGTGTGTGTATGTTAGTGTGTGTGTGTGGATGTCTGTTAGTGTGTGTATGTTAGTGTGTCTGTTAGTGTGTGTCTGTTAGTGTGTGTATGTTAGTGTTTGTGTCTGTTAGTGTTAGTGTGTGTATGTTAGTGTGTGTATGTTAGTGTTAGTGTGTGTGTCTGTTAGTGTTAGTGTGTATGTTAATGTTAGTGTATGTATGTTAGTGTTAGTGTGTGTGTGTCTGTTAGTGTGGATGTCTGTTAGTGTGGATGTCTGTTAGTGTGGATGTCTGTTAGTGTGGATGTCTGTTAGTGTGTGTGTTTGCCTGTGAGTGTGTGTGTCTGTTAGTGACTGTGTGTTTCTGTTAGCTAGTGAATGCGTATCTGTCAGTGAATGTGTGTGTGTGTATTTAGAAGGCGGAGCAGGGGGGAAGGTTGGGTGGCGGTTGCGCGGGGGGGTGCCTGAGTTTTGTCCTGCCTAGGGCAGCACAAAACCAGGATACACCACTGATGGGCATAGTGTTATAGGTGACGTAGTGAGTGTCACTTATACACACACACTACTGTGTGTAGAGAGGGTGTGTTTAGAGAATGTTGTATGTGTTTGCTTACAAGGAATGTAGTGTGTGTGTAGGTGGTGCAGTGTGTGTGTAAGAGATCTAGTGTGTAAAGGACCCAGAGTGTGTATAGAAGATTGTGTGTGTGTGTGTGTAGAGGATTAAGAGTGCATATAGGGTAAGGGATCTAGCGTGTATGTGGAGCGTAATGTGTGTAGTGGTGCAGTGTGAGGGGTGCTGTAGTGTGTGTGTGTGTGTATATATATATATATATATATATATATCTATCTATATCTATATCAAAAAAACAGGATGCTTGGCACTCTCCTTTAAGTAATAAGAAAGAACTAATAGCCTGGGTGCTATATCCCAAACGTCAGAAAAAAATCAAAGGGAGGATGGGACTTACAGGACTTGTTAGTGAAAGGGACTTTTAAT